AAAGCTCTGGCACTTTTCAAAAGGAATATCAGTTAATGTTTAAGTCTCCTTATGAGAAATTATTTAGAACTTAAATCTTTCTTCTGCAGATGGTTGCAAGGTCTGTGGTGCAACCTCAATGGAGGTCTTACTGAGGAATAACTTCACACTTGTTATCAACAACATAGCCTATTGTGTGTCACCTCCTGTAAAAGGTAAGAGCAATGCTTATTAACTCTAATTACCTCACTTCATCGAGTGAAAGAAATGGGAAGTCTCAGTCTGGATAAAGGAATTTCTCTCTGGTTTGGGTTTGTTTGGGGTTTTGTGTTTTTTTTTTGGGGGGGGGGAGGAGGAAGGAGGGGTTCTTTCTTTTTCTACCATTGGTTGGTCCTGCTTTTTGGGGTTGGAGGTGGAGAGGCAATGAAGAAGGGTGGGTTCTTGAAATGTTTTATATGACAAACATTTTTTTTTCAGATAAGCTGAGTAGTGAGCATGCTACTGAAATGGAAGATATAAAATACTTGGTTCACAGACTGTATGTGGCTCTACATTTAGAAGATCACCAGGTCAGGAAAGAGAGAGAATTGCTACGGAAACTGGACCATCTGAAAGAAGAACTATTGCCTCTTGAACAGGTTGGAAAGTGGGGTCACTTTTTTTTAGAAACTCAAAGGCATTTCCTTTCATCAAGAGTAAGTCCTGTGACAGAAGAAAATCAGCATGAATGGTTATGGTGTGTCTGTTTTGTTCATTATGTAAATGAGGCTCAATTCAGATTATTTTCAGTTCAGTTCTTTTCACTCCTGGTATGCACCTTTCCTGGGTAGAAGCCACAACACCTGGAGAAAGCTGTCATGAACAAGCCTCCACATGGCTTGTATTAAGATTGAAAGTCCACTTAGTCATCTGTTTCTGCATGAATTCTGAATACCCATTACAGAAAAAAACAAAACAAAACAAAGCGAGGTAGAAATCACCTGTGTCTTAGGTTAGGCATTTCTTTATCACTAAGGCAGCAAGGCAAATTTTCTGGATTAATGGTTGCCAGAACCCAAAAAGTGAAGGTGTGAATGTTGATGTAGGGCAGGCTAAGCTAACCCAGCATGAGGGGAGGAAGCCAGAAAGAGTCTGACAAAGTGGACATATGTTTTCTTGGCTTCAGACCTGCTTTGTAAGGACCAGCCTCAGCGTTAACCACAGCTGCCTTGAATGGTAAATGGAAATCCAGTAGACATAAATCCCTGTATGTCTACATAGTAGTGGGAAGGGGAGATTAAAAGCAGGATTTCTTGGTGCACGGCAGAGGATTTCAGTCCTTTCTCAGCAGGGTAAGTGGAGTCAGTAATAAGATCCTGAAAAAGGATCTAGTCCAGCAGGAGAAAACAGTTGAGGTGCTGCTTATAGAATCACAGAAGAATTAGGGTTGGAAAGGACCTTAAGATTATCTAGTTCCAACCCTCCTGCTGTGGGCAGGGACACCTCACACTAAACCATGTCACCTAAGTCTCTGTCCAACCTGGCCTTGAGCACTGCCAGGGATGAAGCATTCATAAATTCCTTCCTTGGGCAACCCATTCCAGTGTATTACCACCCTTCTGGTTCCTCACCACTCTTACAGTAAAGAACTTCTCCCGTATATCCAATCTAAACTCACCCTTGTTTAAGTTTTAACCCATTACCTCTTGTCCTGTCACATCAGGGGAGCACTCATATTTGCTTGAACAGGTTTCTCTGTTTCTTTTCCTCAGATGAAAGCCAGAATTGCAGTCAATGCAAATGCAAAGACCACCAGGCTTCTATGGGTCGGCCTAGCTCTGATGTCTACCCAAGGGGGAGCGTTGGCATGGCTCACATGGTGGGTCTATTCATGGGACATCATGGAGCCAGTCACATACTTCATCACTTATGGGAGTGCCATGGCTTTCTATGCCTACTTTATTCTTACTAAACAAGTAAGTCCTTGTTTTGTAAATGTCTGGAGTATTGTAAAGGAGGAAAACTGACTCTGAAAATCACAATATTTGGGCTCTGATGAAAATACAATTCAGTAAGTAGCCTTGCCATCAGACCTGGTTGATCCCTAATTGGGCTGGATATGAACACTACATTGTACGAAATCATGCCGGGTAACTGTTACACGTGAACTTCCATCCAGCCACTTATTTAATAAGTCTCATTAGTGTTTTCTTTTAATATTTTGTAGATCACTTTGAGTAGTAAACAGCACATTGCTCATTGCTGAAACTGGAGAGCAAATAGTACTGCTGTGCCAGTTTTAGGAATGCTGCGTTACAGAAGCAAATCCCTGAACAGCAGCTTTTATTTGGAGAATTTTATGTACAAGTGATGCAGAGTACTAAACCCTTTGGAACTCTGGCAGCTGCGTTACTGAAATATACCCAGTTCAGTGCCTGAAAAAATGTTATTGCTTTGCTCTTCATAATCTGACTGCTTTTCCTTGACATTGGAAAATAGGTTTACCTCCATTGATGAATGGAGGTAAACCTGAGACAGCTGAAATGGAGCAGGGAACAGGCATTGTTTAGAAGAAAAAATGTTTGCTGACCAACATAAAGACCAGATCTTAACTGAGCTGCACAATACAGACTGTAAGACTTTGAGAAATGTTTCTTTTGCCTGTTTTAGCTCTGTACTTTACTCCCAGAGTGGACATCTTGATGTTGAACTAGTGTGATGTGAAAGTCTTTTTGTTATGGAGGTATGTGGCAGAGGAGCCAGCACTTCCTTCCATAATACCAATGGATCTATAGACCTTGTAAGACATCAGGCTCCTTTAGTGAAAAGGGGAGACATGTCTGTTTTTATGAAGAACTAGCTCTGAATGCAAGTTTTACTCCTCACTGATTTTTAAGAGAGGCTAAAGCATTCCTGTTTTTTTTTATATGAGTAGGTAGAGAGATTACTACTTGGCTTGACTATTACTGGCTCTGAATGCAAGTTTTACTCTTCCTCACTGATTTTTAATAGAGGCTAAAGCATTCCTGCTTTTGGTATATGAGTAGGTAGAGAGATTAGTACTTGGCTTTTTTGAACAGCTGCTGACACCATTGCTTGAGACTTTCAAATAAGTCTTTGAGAAATAGTAGCTGAAGTTTTTCTGACTCCTTGGAAGCAGTGTCCAAGTTGACTTAGTCAGTGGCTCCAGTCACAAAGATCATGCTGTGTCCTTATTGTAATTGACAATTTCTGTAGATGAGAAAGAAATTATTCCTACTGTATGTCTAAAAGGCCCTTACAACCTATAGAACCTAACTTCATATATAGTCTCTTAACAGAACATGTGCAAGTTGAACTAATAAATCTTCCTGAAATGGACCTCTACCCAGTTTTCTTGCTAACCCCAAATATGTGCCCTGCTTTCTTCACCAGGACTACATTTACTCTGATGCAAGAGACAGGCAGTTCCTCCACTACTTCTATCGGAAATGCAAAAAGCAGCATTTTACCGTGGAACGATACAACCAGCTCAAAGAAAACATAGCAGAGGTATTTAAATACAGTCCTTAAATAATGAGGTAGCCTCTGGCTTGCTTAAGAAGTTTTCAGTAAACTCTAAGCTAATAGAAAATTGACCTCAAGGTTTGCTACTTACATTTAAAACAGTGTATTACTTGTCACCCAGTTTCAGTTGTTTAAATGACCATACAGTGTTTGCTACTGACATACAAACTGCTTCAGTAAGTCATCAAAAAGGGAGACCTTCATGAATTTAATTCAAAACAAATGTCAGTTTATCAGCCCTGCACACCCATTTTTTCATATTCATTGCATTTTTTGCCATTTCAATAGAAAGCTGTATTGCTTCGGAGACAGTATGTTTGCTGCACTGCTGTGGTAGCACAATCCTCCTCCCTTCCGTGGAAGAAGAATGAATGTCTTGCAGAGTTCAGGATCTAACATCTTAATCCTATTCCTAAAGTAAAAGCTTAGATTTATAGAATACAGACAATGGTATGGAAAAGGAGAAACTTTTTGTGGTCTTCAGGAAAGAGTGTAGCAGATCTCTCGCTCCTCATTTCTTACGCCCTCATCCCATCTCACCAGCCTTTTGCTCAATGTCTCATAGAAGAAAATTGAAATTACCCATAATTTCAGTTCATTTCATGAGCCACATTTGACATAAGGCTAGAGTTTGATACTTTTTCAGTAGCCTGAGAGTATGAATTTTGCGATTTTAATTTCAGGAAAATAATACTTTGGGGTGTGGGTGAATGGTAGGATGGGCAAGGCAGATGCTTCTCTCTGGAGACTGGCTGAATGACTTGAGCAGGTCTGTTAATGTTCAGTGCCTTCCATTTGAGTAGTTTGTTTTCTTGCGCAAGACCAGTGCCTTCTGAGAAAGATATGGGATGTGTGAAAGAGAATGAGAATATGGAGGGCTGCAGAAGGATGAACTCTCACTCTTTCTTGCACTGGCAGGCAGAAGAATCGCTCAGGCGCCTGCGCCAGACTCTGCAACTGAGGCTCCCAGTCCAGGAAATCAAGGACAAGGACTGACTTTGGTTTTGTATATATTAGAATTGCTCTTTCAAAGCTGATACAAACACTTAGTTGCTCTATAGGAACTGGATATTTTTGACCACTACAGTTTTGAAAGTTGCAATAAATATGTATAAAAATTATGTGGTTGCTTGATGGTTTGTTAGTTTTGTTTGTTTGTTTTTGGAGGTTTTTTTGTTTTTAAACCCTATGAAGAAGCTGCTGAATTTCTTCAAGATATTTGACAAATCTCCATACTAAAATGGAGACATTCTGCCTCTTAGCAAAATGACAGGGGTGTTTTATTAGTACCATTTACTATGGCACAGCAGTAGCTCATAGAATAATTAACTTCTGCATTAAGAATTTTTTCCCTGAAATTACTGTTTCCTCTTCCCAGGTCTGAGCATTCACTCTTGCTAGTGTAACACCACTGGTGAGGTTAGGTGTGCATCACAAGTAAGCTTCCTTTAGTAAATACTGCTGGAAAGATAAGATCAAACTCATTTACTATAAAATAATTTGTTTCACTGTTGTATTTTATTGAAAGAATTTATAAAAAAATCAGACATACATGATTTATACAAAGCTTAAAAATAGCCGTAGGAAGACTCAACATCTATGAGCCAGGACATGGCATATGGAAAGATTTAACTGAAGCAGAGCCATTAAATCAATTACATCATACCCAGGAAAGTGGATTAAGACACTCTTCTCAAATTCTCCACTGTCCCCCAGAGTTAAGCATATGTACCAATAATGTAAAAAATAATAAAAGAAATATTTGCTTCCAGTCGGTATCATTGAGCTACTGCTGATGCTGCAGTAGTAACAATCCTATGCTGAAATGTCCTATGGTGACAAGTGCACCATCACTTTTATGTACACAGTGACAGTATGGCTGATCTCCTCTGAGGCCAAGAGGAGGAAAAGGCTGATCCAGCACCAAGGTCTTTAGTACGAAGGCTTGCGTATATAGTATTTTGCAGAGCTGCCTAGAGATGACCAGAAGTTGTAAGTAAGCCTGGAATCTTGAAATGATGTGCTTCAGCTTTAGAGATATGTGCAAGGTGAGCTTATGCGAAGTCACACTAAGCAAGTGGTGCATGGTCTCACTTAACTGCTGCTTGCTTTTCTCCTGAGGATACAAAGCACCAGCAAGCTGTAATTGTGCCCCAAACATAAATGATGTTGCAAGCAAAAAGCAGTCTTCTATCTGTATTAATGCTACAGTTGTACTCAAGTAATTAAGCTCCTCTTTAGTGCTGAGAGAAAAACAACATCTAAAAAGCTCAATAAATGCACAGAAATTGGAAGGTGGATACTGCTTGTCCACAAATTTCAAAAGATGCCCTACATATTCCCTGTCAACTGTGCTCTCGGAGCAAGTTAACCTAATGCAACATTTGAAATGTTTTGCAAATATTAAAATGTGCCATAGTTAGACACCAAAAAACTTTTAAGGGAAAAAGTAATCTAGAATACCAGTTCCCATAAAATCTGAGCACCTAATAGTTTTGCACCGATCAACATTTCCCAAATTCCCTGAGAAGAACAGAGTTGTAAAACTAGCTTTAAAATTGGAGACTATTATGTATACAAACTATAATGTCTGATCACAGTATTTTTGCAAACAATCTTGGAGAATATTAGTCTCCTGAACTAAGATGGTGTGTCTTTCACCTCTGCAGTGAGTACTAGTTAATGGTTGTCATTATTCAGTAACAATCTACTTAGATTTTGGATGAAAATACAATTTTTTAGTTAACATTGAGGCAAAACAAGGGATCTGTTTTTTTCCTATAGCATTAATGTCTCTGCATATATCCACTTTGCGATAAGATACTTTCCTGTTAACGAGAGTAAGAAGTTCCGTGAACTCCAAGGAAGAGCCGTGCTTCCTAAGTGCCTCACACAAATCTTGAATGTACCAGGAGCCATTTACAGTTTCACGATGAGAAAAGTAACCTGTTGTAGAAGAGGAACATAAAAATATATCCAAATGTAAATACTGATGCCATTCGAAAAATACATGGACAATTACTGCTTGCTAGCTGCATGCATAAGGGATTACTAATGGGTGTAAATCTTACTTTGCCAATTATGTAATTTTACTGGAAATTGTAGATCAGAAATGGCTTTGAGATCACTTACAGTGCTTAGCCAAGATAAGCGTGGTTCAGGGGCTGACAGCTTACAGGATTGCATCTGCACATTACAAGAAAGCAAATGGGACTGAGGACAAGATACATGGAGGAGCAGAGAGGACAGACATGTAAGTGCAGTGAAATTTGTAAGCCACAAGAATCCTACAGTCCTGGAAAAGAAGGGAATGCTTGCTGCCAGCAGACAGCTCAGCAGCAAGATTAATGAAAATGTTTCTTCTTAGCAAATTAACTGCAACCTTGATAGTTTATTTTCACTTTTTCCTTAATATGTGAGGCTCTTTCCCAGACAAGATGTCACTTATCAGACATGTAAAACAGATGACTTGGAACTGTACTCATTATTTTGACTGCAAAATGAATAAATGTTAAAGCTTGTTATGGTGAAGTATCAGACACTGAATGTAAAATACTAGAACTTACCTTGTGCCACAGAGTAGCACATGATAAAGTCTGCACCAGCAGGCAGGGTATAGATACCAGCTGCATCCACTTCAGTCTCATTGACAATGGATTTATCACTACCGTCTAGTGAATCCTGAACAATAACTGGATCATCATGTTTATCACCTCGACATGCCTGTTGATTAGAAGTATTGTTATGCTTTCACCTCTTCCAAGCTCACCTATGTTAACATGATACTTCTCATGCTAACCAGAGGGACCTTCTCTTGTTAGATGTTTCCACATTACCATGAGTCTGAATTCATAAAGACCCATTTGCTTCTCTGTCAGTTAAAACACGTGTGATGAAGCCCAGAAAAAGCTCTGAGATGATCACAGAATCACTGAGATTGGAAGGGATCTCTTGATCCTCTTGAAATCACCTTGTCCAATCCCCTAGGCTTAAACTAGATTAAGTTGTCCAGGACTGTGTTCAGTCAGCCTTCAACTATCTTCACAGAGAGAGACTGCAGCTGAGTGACTTTCTTCTCTTACTCTGAGGGTGGTCAAACACCAAGTGTTTTCTTGTGTTTAGATGGAATTTTGTGTGTTTTAATTTGTGCCTCTTCTTTATTGATTTCCCCCAGCTGTTTATAACATTGATAAGATTTCCCCTGAGCAGCCATCTCCAAGCTGAACAGCCCCAGCTCTCTCAGCCTTTCCTCATATGAGATGTTCCAGTCCCCCAGTTATTGTTGTGGCCCTTTGCAGGACTCACTTCAGGAAGTCCGTATTTGTGTTGTACTGGGGAACCCAGAACTGGACACGGTACTTCAGATGCAGCTCACCAGTACTGAGTAGAGAAGAACAATCAGCTCCCTCAGACCTGCTGGCAAGGCAGTGCTGAATGAAGTACTACAGTTACAATCTGCTGAGGGCCAGCTTCTCCCATGAGTTTGCTAATTGTAATCTGAACAAAGATGGGATAAAGCTCTGTGTAACCTGGTCTGACCCCATAACTGACTCTTGCTTTGAACAGGAGGCTGGAGCAGAGACCCTGAAGGTCCCTTCCAACTTGTATTATTCTGTGAACAGAGGAGTAAAATGCGGGGTTACATATGGGCTTTATTTGACCACTTAGCACAAACCGTATTTCTGAGACTATAAAGCCTTAAATTGATCCTTTGAATTCTACAGAGATGCCAAGTACTGGTCATGGACAAAAAAGAAACAAAAGAAAAAAACAGAGAAGAAAACCCAACCAACTAAAAACCCAACCAACCAAACCCCAAAACAAAAATATACACTCACAATCAATTTGACAAGGGCTTAGTTTGGGTTGCTTATTAAATACAGCTAGAATCATAATAATAACACTCATATACATAAGGGTTCGTTTGTTGGGTTTGGTTGTTGGTTGGTTGGGGTTTTTTTTTAAGAGTCCTTGTCTTAAATTCTTTAAGGAACAATTTTCCATAACTTCTTTCCTACAGATGCAAAAACTTTCCCTTTTAGAAGGACTGTGTTAGGAAAAAGAACTCCTGTATTACAAGAAGACATAGGTCAGAGTTAACATCACTAAATGCAGAAACAAACATCTTACCTGAATGATAAATATCTTTGGTTTTCCTACCAGACTCTGGCACTTGTCTCCTCTGAACATGTCAGTGATTGTCTCGATTTTGATGTAGGTATCGTATGCATAAACATGATCATTCTTGCCATGACTCAGGAACACACAAACAAAACAGTCGGCATTACTGTGGTCATCCTTGGAGGCTGAAATAGTCAAGTGCTGTTTAGATGACTAAACAGTGTCCTTTAGGCTTAAAAAACATTGTACATTTGTATCGTATCGTTCAATCTCTGACTAGTCCTGTTTCAAATAAACCCTATTTTCAGATAGTATAATACTGCAAAGATTTTGGAGGTGCAATGATTTAACATGGCTGAAGGTAAAGGCTGCTAAAAGTAGGAAGAATAATGTTACGCAGTCACTTTCTTTCAACTCTTGGCAACTTCATTAGTTCTCTCCACAGAAGCTTCACTTACCCTGCAATAAAATAATCTGAAGCCTAACCCTTAAATTCTTCTAACATTAAACAACTTCCTTCTGCACAAAAATCATTTTAAGTTGGATGAACAGAGAGAATGGAACAAAAGATACTTGGAAATTCTGCTACAAATAGACATAAGAAATACGTAGCCTCCTACCTTCAGAAATTTTCTGCAGTACATCTTCTGCTTTCAGATCATCAAAATGTCTGACTTCAAACCCAAGGTCTGTCAAACTATTGTTCAAACACATGAGTATTAGTAAAAATTTTGCTCAAATTATGTCGGTTTCTGTGAGCTCAGTTGCTTTCCCTGCAGGAGAATGAATATTCCCATTTATGCATTATTTATGAGAGCAACTACTAAAGTTGAACTCAAGCTGGTGTCAAGTGCAGGTGTGACACCTAAAGTTATTTCAGACAGTTTGTCCTCAGAGAGCTCTGGACTCACTGAAATCACAGGACTTCTGCCAGCAGTTTCTGCAACTTAAAACAATGTCCCTTGAAGCTTTCTTATTACAGCTTTCTTTGCCAAGGTTGCACAGGTGCTTCTGTCTGCAAAATCTTTTATTCTATACTTAAATGTAAGATGTGGGTAACTGCTTTTATGAACATCAGGTCTGAAGCTTAGCTTTTTAAGCTTTAGTAGAGAAACCAAGTTTCTTACCTGCGTTTTAAATTGTTTCTGTCTGCAAGAGTGCCACGTCTGTCTGTCAGCTTTAAATGCCAAAAAAAGTGCTCATGATTGAAGATTAATGCAATTCCTCTTCTTTGATGGTTCATTTTGTATTGCACTGCAGGATCAAGGGTTTGCCTGTTGCCAAAGGTGGAAAACATTCTTGATTAATGAATTAATGGCTAATTGGATTCCCTTCCTGTATTGCTGCTAGCTGAGATTTTTTTTGTTGACTAAAGACTTGGAGGATCCATTTTTAGAAGACAAGACCTCAAAATATTTTAGGAAGAGCCTAAATTGCTAGGTATTTTTGAAAATCTTGGGTTTGTTAAGTAATTCAGTAAAAAGAAGTGTTGACTGCATACTAGACTCCATCAGGTAGCTGAACAGTTTCTCTACAATGTATTTGTATTTTCTCTTGTCAGGAGGCTGTCTCCTATAACACTATAGGGCATATAACAGTGCACTTTAGACTTGGCTTCAATTCTCCATGTTATAGCTAAGTATTATTTTAACACAACTGGATAGTGCTTATATACTTAGTTGGAACTGTAGCCGTTTCAGGTTCTTCTAACTAAACCAAGTACTGCATCATAAGCAATAAACTAGTGATGATGTGGTACGCTCAGTGTATCTTGCAAAGAGAGAAGAAATTAAAGAAAACAAAATCAAAGCTATGCGTCTAAGTTTTTAGCAACCAGCTGTCAAAATCCTAAAGATGAAGGACAGTGTTGTTCTGAAGGACAGAACAAATGACCTACCCAGCTTCTAAGGGAAGGACTTTATCATGGCAACTAGTGTGATGGTTGATTGAGCAATTTTACTGCTTTATGAGCAAAATGCAACATAGAAATCTATGATAGCACACCTATGGACTGTGCACTTGGACCCAAAAGGTTGTTTCCAAGTGTTGGCATAGCTGTATTTTGAGAGACAAAGCAGACAATCTTACTGCTTTTGTAGACGCAGAGATATTGATGCAGAAAACAGAAACTACAAGGCTCTGGTAATAGATAAGGCCAGTGTTAGAGGTACACAGAATGACAGTCCAGGTCATCCTGCCCTAGGACTGGCTCTAGTGACAGCTGTTATTTTTGGCATGTAACTGGGTTGGGTTGTGGGTTTTTTTTCCCTGCTATGGAATGGTCAGTTTGGTGCAGTTTTTTTCTCCTTGGGTGGTCAACCTATGCAGGAATCATTCCTTTACACCGCCCGCTCCCCCACCAGGCTATTCACAGCAGCATTTGAGAGTTCTGAAGGTTTTGGATAGCCTTTGAATACCCTTGAGACCTACCTGCTGATTGCGATGGGGATCAGCATGTCGGTACACATACAGTGTGTTTTAGCCATACCACCCTGAGAATGGCCTGTTTTGTCTGATCTCAAAAGTTAAGCAGGTTGCTTAGAATATTTGCCTGCAGACATTAGAGTGCAGTTTCATCAGCCAAATGCTTTTGTTTCATTATAAAATGACCAAAGTTCCCCTTAAGCTATTTCTGCTTCTCCACTGTATTATCAGCAACCCATTCATAAAAACATCTTTTTGTAACATCTGAGAATTCAAACAGGGAACAGGAATTCGGGATGACTCTTAGCATCTGGATGACTCTTAGCGTCAATGTTTCTACAACACTGGCTGGATAACCAATAAGAACAGCTCTTAACAAAAATCAGAAAACCCTGCACTGACCTCAGTGCCATGGGCAATCTCCCTGTCACTGCCATCAGAACTTTACCTTGCATCAAGCGCATCTACTTCTGTGATGTTCTGATTTCCATCTGTTAAAGAGATCAAAAAGAGATTTAGCCACTAAATCATTCATTGAAAAGAAACAATTAGAACTTGTGCATCCAGCCTTAAAATTTAGCTGTTAATGTGAACCAAAAGCTCATTCACACATGAGGTGAGTAGGCATGCAGTTAAACGGCTTCATTAGCTTTTGGAGGCTCTTCTTAAAGTCCTGAATTTTAGTTGGTCAAGACATGCATATTTTATATCTGTGTATCTGTATCTACATAGACATATTCAGAGATCATGATTTTGTATAACTAGTTGGCTGTATTTAAACAGAGTGTCTAACTCAGTATTTATGATTTCACATAATCTGAAAATACACTGATGTTTCTTTCATTTCAGTAATGCTGCTAATGCAAAGCTGATCAGTCTCTGAGGTTGGATGCAGCATATGAGTCATAGTAGGTAGTGTAACAGTATGTATAGCTCATGACAACTGAGAAGATGCAAGATTTATACCTTTTCTTCTGCTAAACTAGATTGACATAAATATCTCCAGTAAGAGAAAGCACATAAAGGTAACTCTGTGGGAACAACTGGGAACATGCACATCTTGGGAGCATCAAAACTAAAGACTTGCAGATGGCTGGGCCAAAAATACTTATTCCTTTTCCTTAACCTTTTCAATGGACTAGAAAATCACAGCACCTCCTCCTACTGGTGGAGACTAACTACTACATTATGTTTATATATATTGTATACCGCATTATGTTTTACTATTTTATTCAATATTTTACTATTATATACTATACTGGACCTGTAGTGGTTACTGTAGGTCTGCTATCCAACTGGGCATGGCCTGCAATTGTAAGAGAAGATAGGTCACGTATACACATATTTTACAAACTACTTGGTACATACACAGTACTATCTTTTCCCATCTTTTCATCACATCTGATTAAAGCCTTTTGCAAAACAAACTAACATAGCTATGTATTGATAGAGGAGAAACGCTCATCAAGATATTAGAATAAACTTGCAAAAAGCTAGACTCTGCCTTAGAAGCTTTTACGTTGAACATGACAGCACAGGAGAGTAGGGGTGGCTCAAAGAAAGTCACATGCTTCTGAGTGTTAGTATTTACATGTACACATCCCTGGCAAATACGGATCATACTTTCAGGTGTTGAGTCTTACCATTACTGCTAGTAACCTCAACGCACAAAAAAAAAGGCTATTTCAGTTTGCTTGAAACGTATTGTGCAAGTCAGACTAATGATACAGGTGCTGGAAAATGAGTGTAAATAGAACACAGGCACACCACCTCTGCCTACGACTTGATAATAGGAAGCCAGAGATCTTTTAAGAGTGCATCTGTTTGTATAAATTTACACTGTACTTTTGCTTGTGTGCCTGAGATCTGACTCATGCTTTTGCCTTAAGGGGACAGCAGACCATAAAAACGTTAGTCAACAAACTTTTAGACAGAAAATGCTGTCATGTAGACATACGAAGAACAGAATTCCGGGGCCACAAAAAATCTAGGAAAGAATAGTTTTCCTGTTCTTCTAATCCTGTTTAGTCAGTTCCCAGTCTTTAACTTTCCACTGCCACTGTCATATTGCAGTTTCATTCAAGTAAACTCTACTTAAGACATCAGGCGCTGGATTCTACTCGCAAGGCTACTTCCGCGTTGGCCGCCGCCAGCCGTCCTTCCCGCACGGCACCTTCCCCCTTTTCTCCGAAGGGAAACAAAGGACCCGCTCCCCGCGAACGTCTGCAGCGACCTCCGGGCAGCGCTACCCCAGCTTCGGTCGGTTCGGGTCACACGAGGGGTGGGGAGGACCCTTCTCCTCGCAGCCCCTCGCACGGGAATCCCCGTCCCACTTTTCCCCTGCGGAGGGTAAGGGGCACCGAGCCGCGGGCGCCACAGGCCGCCTGGAAGCCCCTATGGCCAGGGCACGAGGCGGCCCCGAGACCTTCAGCAGCCCCGCACGGTAACAATGGGCGCTCCTATCCCCTGCCCTAACCCGTCCCCCCCGACCGCGGCCGCCGATGTTACCCGCCGTCCGCCTCGGCTCTTCCCGCCGACCCTCTGCTCCCGACATGACCGCGGATTAAAGGACCCAGCCGCCGCTCCTTCCCGGGACTGGCCCGCCCGCCCGGCCCGGCCCGGCCCAGCCCGGCCCAGCCCACGTTCCGCCTCGGAGGAGGGCGGTTGTTGCCTTTACCTCCGCCGGCGGTCGGCCCCTGTGTAAGAAACAGGACGGGGGATAGAAGGGAGCGCGGCTGGGTCGTGCGGGTCCCGGTGCGGGAGCAGCGGCAGCAGCGCTCAGCGGAGGGGCCACGCTGCGGGTCTTCGGGCTGTGCCGGGGCTGCGGGGGTACCGCCGCGCCCTGACGGTGGATCCGTAACGGCGGTGGCTTGGTGTTCAGGTCCCTGCTCGGGAGATGGCAGAGGCCGGCTGCTGCCCGTCGGAACTCAGCCGGGAAAACTGAGGAGGGATGCGTTAGAGTCTGCGATTACTTTTTAAGTTTGCCACGCATCACCTGTGTTCCTGTGATGTGTACTTCAGTGGCCGTGTTCCACGGACCGCACTGCCATAGGCAGCGTCCTGAAACATGGCGAGAAGATACTGTGTTTGCTAAACGGAGATTTTTCAGAACTGTACTTAAAGCCCCCTTAAAGACACATACTGTTGTCTTGCGGTAAAACTACTGTTAGCCAAAATGCATTTTTGGACATGCACCCACATGTAAACCCTCGAGAGGTCCGGGTGTGTGTAATTTTGCAGCTTTTTGCTACTCTTGCATCAGTTCTCTTTGATCTCTCAGAACCCAAGGTACTGAAGAGAGTGCTGAGATACCGTTAACAAAGACTGATATTCCCAACCTGTTCATTGTATGGCACTTACTGTTGTAAGTAAACCGAACAGTTTCTAAACCAAAGCCAATGACATAAACATCCTTCTGTGTAAGAGCTTTGCAGATTAGTACCATGAATGGGTCTGAATTTCCTATCTGGACTATTCCTAGGTAGGCACTAGGATAAACACGGGTATGAATACACTCTTAAGAGATTTCTGCAACAAGCATGAAAAGAGGTGGATATAGAGTGGGTATTTTTACCCAGTCTGGTCTGTTTTTCCACAGGCTTCTTGCATGAGTTAAGCCTTTTAGACAAGACATCTCCTTTTTGGTTGAAGGAGCCACGGGTATTTCTAATTACCTTTGCTTGCTTTCCCTTTGTTTAGACTTGTCTTCAGACTGCCAGCAGGCAGCGAGATCAAGATAAAACCATTGTTTAAATTGTCTTTGTGTACACTGTAGTTAGAACATGATACCATTGTAACAGCTCAGTGTCTTCCACTGTAAGACACTAAATGTGGAAC